TCCGTTTTTTTTTTTTTTGAAGTAGTTTGAAAGAAACTCCGGGAACTCTTCCTGAAAGAATTTGAAAGAATCTCGGGAAACCTGTGTGTTTTGTTAGTTTGAAAGAATGTCAGTTATCCCTTATTTTGTTTTTGAGGTAATTTGAAAGAATCTGCGGCAGTCCTTTTATCTTGGTCCTGAAATAGTTTGAAAGAATTTCAGTAACTTGTCATGATTTGTATTTGAAATCGATTGAAAGAATCTCAGGGACCACTTCTGTCTATCTTTTAAAGTAATTTGAGAGAATCTGAGGCAGTTCTTCTATCTTGTTTTTGAAGTAGTTCGAAAAAATCTTGGGGATCCCATACGTTGTTTTTCAAATGATTTGAAAAAACCTCGGAGACAATTTGTGATTTGTTTTTGAAGTATATGGTTTGAATAAATCACAGGGACCACTTGTGATTGGTTTTTGAAGTAGTTTGAAGGAATTTCGGGATCCCTTGAGTTTTTTTTTTAGAATAGTTTGAACTAATGTCGGGAATTAATTGTCTCATTTTTTAAGTAGTTTAAAAGAATGTCGGTTACTCTTGTTTTGTTTTTGAAGTAATCTGAAAGAATTTCAGGAACCATTTGTGCTTAATTTTTGAAGTAGTTTAAAAGAATCTCAGAAACTACTTGTGTCTTCGTTTTCGAAGTAGTTTTTAAGAATCCCGGGAACCCCTTTTATTTCTTTATTTTTTTAAAAGAAGTTTGAACGAACATCACGGATTCCCTCGTCTTGTTTTTGAAGTAATTTGAAAGAATCTCCGGCAGCCCTTCTACCTTGTGCCTGAAACTGCTTGGAAGAACCTCGGAAACTTCTCTTGATTTGTTTTTGAAATAAATTGAAAGCATCTGTGGCATCATTTCTGCCTAGTTTTTGAAGTAATTGAGAGAATCTCAAAGACCACTTCTATAACGTATCTGAAGTAGTTTTAATGAATCTTGGAAATCCCTTGTGTTGTTTTTCAAATGATTTGAAAAAATCTCGAGAACCTCTTGTGTTTGGTTTTTAAAGTAGCTTAATTGTCTTACTTTTTAAGTAGTTAAAGGAATGTAGTGGGTTCCTTCCATTTTGTTTTTTAAGTAATTTGAAAGAATGTCTTGGATCCCTTGTTTTGTTTTTGAAGTAGTTTGAAGGAATCTTGAGACGCCTTGAGTTTTGTTCTTAGAATAATGGCCAACAATCTCGGGGATTAATTGTCTTATTTTCTAAGTAATTTTAAAGAATCTTGGAAGTTCCTTCCGCTTTGTTTTTGAAGTAGTTTGAAGAATATCGGTTATCTTTGTTTTGTTTTTGAAGTAATCTGAAAGAATCTCAGGAACCATTTGTGCTTAGTTTTTGAAGTACTTGTTTCTAGTTTTCGAAGTAGTTTTTAAGAATCATGGGAACCCCTTTTATTTATTTACTTTTTTTTTTAAGAAGTTTCAACGAATATCAGGGATTCCCTCGTCTTGTTTTTGAAGTAATTTGAAAGAATCTCCGGCAGCTCTTCTATCTTGTTTCTGAAATAGCGTGTAAAAATCTAGGGAACTTCTCGTGATTTGTTTTTGAAGTAGATTGAAAACATCTCTGGCACCACCTCGGTCTGTTTTTTGAAGTAATTTGAGAGAATCTCGGAGATCACTTCTATAACGTATCTGAAGTAGTTTGAAAGAATCTTGGGGATAACTTGTGTTATTTTTCAAGTGATTTGAAAAAACCCGGAGATCCCTTTTAGTTTATTTTTAAAGTATGTAGTCTGAAAAAATCTCGAGAATCTCTTGTGTTTGGTTTTTGCAGTAGCTTAAAGGAATCTCGGGAACCCCATGTGTTTTGTTCTTGGAATAGTTTGAAAGAATCTCGCGGGTTCCTTCCATTTTGTTTTTGAAGTGGTTTGAAGGAATCTTGAGATGCCTTGAGTTTTGTTTTTGGAATAATTGGAACTAATCTCGGAGATTAATTGTCTTATTTTCTAAGTAATTTAAAAGAATCTTGGACATTCCTTCCGCTTTGTTTTTGAAGTAGGTAGTTTGAAAGAATGTCGGTTACTCTTGTTTTGTTTTTGAAGTAATCTGAAAGAATCTCGGGAACCAGTGTGCTTAATTTTTAAAATAGTTTGAAAGAATCTCAGGAACCACTTGTGTCTAGTTGTCAAAGTAGTTTTTAAGAATCTTGGAAACCCCTTTTGTTTATTTACTTTTTTGAAGAAGAAGTTTGAACGAAAATCAGGGATTCCCTCGTCATAACTCGGAAGAATCTCGGGAACTTCTCCTGATTTGTTTTTGAAGTAGATTGAAAGAATCTCAGAGACCATTTCTGTCTGCTTTTTGAAGTAATATGAAAGAATCTCAAGGACGAATTTGGTTTAGTTTTTGAAGTAGTTTGAAAGAATCTCGGGAACCCCTTTATTTGTTCTTGAAATGGTTTGAAATAGTTTTGAGGGTCCATTCTTGTCTTACTTTTTCAAGTAATTTCAATTAATCTCGGGCACCCCTGGTGTTTTGTTTGAGAAGTATGGGGTTTGATAGAATCTCAGAAATCCCATCTGGTTGGTTTTTGAAGTAGTTGGAAAGAAATTAGAGATCTTCTGTCTGGTTTTTGAAGTAATTTGAAAGAATCTCGGGAGCCTCTTGTGTTTTGTTTTTGAAGTAGTTCGAAAGAATTTCTGAGATCCTCTGTCTTTTTTTTGAAGAAATTACAAAAAAATCTCTACAATTCCATGTCTCACTGTTTCATTTTGGGAACAGCGAATAGAAACAATTTTGTGCAATTATTTTTAAAATATTAAAAAAGTTACTGGAAACGGATTAACAATTTCTTCGAAAATATTAATGCACTGATAAAGGCCAAAGTTATGTCTATATTTCTAGCGAGTTTCACCATTTGCAAATGTTCCGATCAACATTATTTGAGCAAGAACACGTATGTTAATTCCAACACGTTCTAGAGATTTGATTAAAACATGGGTGAACTTGACTTAATCAATAAAAAATATAAAATAATAATATAATAAGAGTCACAGTTTAAATTACGTGGATGTAAGTAAACTGTCATAATAAAATTTGGACAAAGACAAAGCGAATTCGTACCCCACAAATGTAAGATTATTTTACTGTATAAAATCCAAATCATTTTAATGTAGAATATTTTGAGATAACGTTATTAAATTTTTGGTAGGGTTGAATAGCCAAATTTTAATTAAAGAAAAGTTATACAACATAAACTTTTCGTCCAAATTGAGTGAAAAAACCCAATTGTTCTTTTTCAATTTAACAAACACCGCAAATATTTAACGAGCTCTGTAAACGGAAACGCTGTCGGTTTTTTCTGTTTAACATTGTATAACCGTATTTTCTATTTATTTACTTAAACTGTGTATGAAATGCTTTTTCAAGCATTTTCAGTACGTTCATTATCTTTATCTGGAAATGCGTCGGTGTAATTCATTTTGTTTACATATAAACAAGACCGCCTGAAAAGCAATTTACACCGAACGCAATAAACAATTATTAGATTTTTCCAGTTGATCTCGCTTTAAAACGACGAAATGGAAATTTTCTGCCGAACCCAAGAAAAACACGTTTTTCTTTGTTTTAGGAGGGAAACTTAAATCTAAAAATAAAATCCCAACCGATAATTTTTCACATACATACATCGACTCGTACTGAATAATAAATCATTACTACATTATTCATGAATTAATTTCGCTCTAATATTAGCCAACATCACCCCCACAACCCACTAATTTAAAACATATTATCATCATCCCCATATTTTATTAACGCCGCAAACCAATGTCATTTTTATCATCGATCCATTAAAATCTGATTTTACGAACTCGACACCCCATCCACCAAACTCGCACATTTCCAATGCAATCCTCGTAAATCCCCAAATCGCTCAACTTATCTGCACATATGTCCCGGCATCCAATAACAACGACTCACTTCACCCGAAACTGCAACGATTTCCAACCCATCAAACAACGAGAAGTCAGTGACATTTTTATTCTATGACTACTGTCTACAATCCGCTACGAATACCATCCACAATACTTTATTTAAGCATCGTCGATCGATTCGTTATTTTCGGTCATCGATTTATAATTCATACTATTTCCAGTGGGTTTGTTACGAACACTTCGGGGTGGCCCAATCTTATCGAAACGGTAACTCGCGCTTTATGACAGTTTTTGCGCTGGTTCATTCCACAGAACATCAAACCGCACTCAACAATTGCACATGAATTATTTATGGGGATGAGGGTTACTTCAACCCTTCCGGAGCCAAGATATTGGGGAGGGAATTGTAAATGCAGAACTGACCTGATTAACAAGGCGAAATTGTGGCCCGGCGCATCCGCCATTTTTGGGCAAAATTTGATGGAAATATTTTGCGTTTTCAGGTGTTTTGAGTAATTTTTTTGGAAATTATAAATTATGGAATCGAGCTCGAAAATATGTTTTTTGCAGACATTTCAGAGCGCACACGTAAAGAGCACATTATTATTTATGTGTTTCTTAGAATCGGTAGTTTTACAGCGAATATGTTCTATTTTTATAACATTATTTCTGGAATTACTTTTTTATTTTTTTCCGACCCATAAAGCGGCATAAATAAACGCAAATACGAATCTTTATTATTATTCGGAAACAACATATGCTGCACAACATTTAGCTGGCTTTTAGTTTTAATTATAATTTTTTTAATATTAAAAACACATTTTTGTGTTTTTAATATCTGTTGTTATAGTTCGATAGGTAAAAATAATTTAAAACGAAAATATAAATTGCTATCCCGGCGCATCCACCATTTTTAAATAAACATTCGATTTATTTTAAATTAACATCAAATATATATTTCTATTTATTAGAAGCATTTTTATATTCACTTTTATTTTACCATTAACCACATTTTTTTTTACAAATATTTTCCTAATATCGATTTTTCCTCTAGTAATGCTAATACTAATAATAATAATGCTACGAAGGAATTATTACCATAGTTCTGTCCAGACTTCTCCATCTTCTAAACTTTCACAAAGTTCACACACGTTTTTGGTTAAATAACTTCGAAAGCGCGCACATGCGAATACTGCAGACGGCGCGAACTGTTGGAAAGCGTCGCGACGACTGCCAGCATCATGTTAGTCATGGAGTTCGGTAGTCTACCACGTCCTTTCTACATCGATCTGACAAATAGAAGGGGCGTGCCACTAATAGCGCTTCTTCAAAAAGATATATAAACGAAAGAAATTGCTCTAAGCTGATTACTTGTATCGACTGAGCCGGTTTTCGTCGGCTAAGCTTGCTGAAATTTCCGAAAGTGTTTGACGAAGAGTGGGGTTTCAGCAGCTACGCTGTCGCTGGGGTTTTTTAGTATTGTTGTTTTTCATATTTTTGTTCGTGCATTTCAAATTAATTCTTTAACTTTACATTTTGTTTTCTGATTGTTGTTAAATTTTAGTTGTATGTTAGGAATATTATGTAGATGGTAAAACACACTAACTAATATTTCCAAATTTTCCAAAAGTAAATTTTCTTTAAATTTTATAACTTCATGTACTCCTCCATTTGTGGTTTATGAATCCGTGTTGAGTCTTTTCACCTTGAAATTGCAAAATCGAATGCTTTGATACCTTGCCAAAGGAATTGATGATGTCGTCTTAAAATTATTTTAATTATTAACTTAAAATTATGGATATGTAACAATTTTTAGAGTTCCCAATTTTTCGTCTTTTCAATTTGTCGATTCTTTAATATTTCAATTTTTCAATTTTTAGATGCTTTGATTTCTTGATTCTTCAATTCTTCAATTTTTCGATGCTTTAATTTTTCAATTTTCAAAATTTTCTAATTTTCGGTCTCTCAAATTTTCAGTTCATTATTTCGATTTTTCAGGTTTTTGGTTTTTCAATTCATCGGTTTTCTGATGTTTCGATTTCTCGATTTTTCGATTTTTCCATTTTTCAATTTTTAATTTGTAGATTTTGTCCATTTTTCAAATTTTCTGTTTTTTGACGTTTCCACTTCTTAATTTTTCAGTTATTTAATATTTCGATTTTTGAATTTTTCGTTTTGCCAGGATTTTGATTTTTCCCTTTCCCAATTTTTAAAATTTTTTAATTTTCAACTTCGATTTTTTTACTTTTCGAATTTTCTCTTTTTGCAATTTTTCGATTTTTCAATTTTTTAATGTTTCAGTTTTGGAATTTTTCATTGTGTATGTCAAATATTCAATTTTTCAATTTTTAAATTTTACATTGTTCAATTTTTCGATACTTTAATTTGTCAATTTTTAAAATTCCAAAATTTTCGATTTGTCAATTTTTCACTTCTTCGTTATTTCGATTTTTCAGGTTTTTGGTTTTTCAATTCTTGGCTTTTTCAGGATTTTGGTTTTTCAGTTCATCGGTTTTCTGATGTTTCGATTTCTTGATTATTCAATTTTACAATTTTTTAATGCTTATTACAGTTTTGGAATTTTTCAATATTTGGATTCTTCAATTTTTAAACTTTACGATTTTTCGATTTCTCGATTTTTTACTTTTTCCATTTTTCAATTTCCCAATTTTTAAATTTTATATTGTTTCAAACTTCAATTTTTCGATTTTCTGATGTTTCGATTTCTTGATTTTTCAGTTATTCATTATTTCGATTTTCAGGATTTTGGTTGTTCATTTTTTCGATTTCTAAAATGTTTGACTTTTCAACTTCGATTTTTCGACTTTTCGATTTTTCGATGTTTACAATTTTTCGATTTCCCAATTTTTTGATATTTCAGTTCTGAAATTTTTCAATTTTTCTTCCATTTTTCAATATTTTGATTTTTCGATTTTTTTCGACTTTTAAATTTTAGACATTTTAATTTTTCAAATGCTTTGATTACATGATTTTTTAATTTTTCGATTCTTTGATATTTTAATTTTTCGTTTTTTCAGGATTTTGAGCTTTCCCTTTTTCGATTTTTTAAATATTTGAATTTTCAACTTCGATTTCTAGAATTTTTTATTTTTTAATTTTTCAATTTTTTTCCATTTTTCAATTTTTCGTTCTTTCAGGATTTTGATTTGTCACTTTTTCTTTTTTTGAAATTTTCTATTTTTCTTTTTCTTCGACATTTCAATTTTTCGATATTTACTATTTTTCAATTTCTCAATTTTTGGAAGTCTCAGTTCTAGGAATTTTGAATTTTTCGATATTTCAGTTTTGAAATTTTTCGTTGTGTATTTCAAAATTTCAATTTTTTAATATTTCGACTTTCCAATTTTCCTAATTTTTCGATTTTCAAATCTTAAATTCTTCAATTTTTCGATTTTTTTATCTAATTTTTCAATTTTTCTTCCATTTCTCAAACTTGCGATATTTCAGTTTTGGATTTTCGATTTTTGGATTTTACGTTTTTCATTTTTCAAATTTTCGGTATTTTTGATGTTTTGATTACATGATTTTTCAATTTTTTGATTCTTCGATATTTTAATTTTTCGTTATTTCAGGATTTTGGTTTTTCAAGTTTTCGATTTTTAAAATTTTTGACTTTTCAACTTCGACTTTTCGACTTTTTGAATTCTCAAAATTTTAATTTTTGAGTTTTAGATTTTTTCGATTTTTCAATTTTTCGATCCTTTCATGTTTCGTTTTCTTCATTTTCAGTTATTCAATGTTCCGATTTTTGAATTTTTCGTTTTTTCAGGATTTTTATTTTTCATTTTCTCGATTTTTAAAATTTTTGGCTTCGATTTTTCGAGTTTCCGTTTTCTCGAATTTTTCAATTTATTTGTTTATTAAATTTTGGAATTTTCAATTTTTTAAATTTTGATTTTTTTTGATGTTTTGATTACATTTTTATATTTTTCGATTCTTCGATGTATTTTTTTTGTATTTCAAAATAACAATTTTTCTTTTCAATTTTTCATTTTAGATTCTTCATCTTCTCCTTTTTTGATGTTACGATCTTCCATATTTTCAATTTTTGGATTTTTCAATTTTTTGATATTTCAGTTTTAGGATTTTTGAATTTTCGATTTTTTTGATTTTTAAATTTTACATTTTTTAATTTTTCACATTTTCGGTTTTTATGATGTTTTGATTTCTTGATTTTTCAATTTTCCGATTCATCAATATTTTTTCGGGATTTTGAGTTTTCTCTTTTTCGATTTTTAAAATTTATCATTTTTCAATTTCGATTTTTAGAATTTTCGATTTTTTTGATTTTTTATTTTTTGAATTTTAAATTGTTTCCATTGTTCAATTCTTCGATCCTTTGATGCTTCGTCTTCTTGATTTTCAGTTGTTCAATATTCCAATTTTTGAATTTTTCGTTCTTTCAGGACTTTTTCGATTTTTAAAATTTTTTACTTTTCAACATCGATTTTCCGACTTTTCGTTTTTTCTACTTTTCAATTTCACAATTTTTTGACTTTTAGAATGTTTCAATTTTTCGATATTTCAGTTTGGAAATTTTTCATTGTGTATTTTAAAACTTAAATTTTTCTAATTTTCGACTTTCCAGTTTTGCTAATTTTGCAATTTTTAAATCTTAGATTCCTCAATTTTTCGATTTTTTTATCAATTTTTCCTCCATTTTTCAAATTTACGCTATTTCAGTTTTGGAATTTTCGATTTTTCAATTTTGTTCGATTTTTAAATTTTATATTTTTTCATTTTTCAAATTTTCGGTGTTTTTGATGTTTTGATTACATAATTTTTAAATTTTTTGATTGTTCGATATTTTAATTAATTTTGGTTTTTCACTTTTTCAATTTTTAAATTTTTTTCTTTTCAACTTCGAATTTTCGACTTTTCGATTTTCCTAATTTTCAATTTTTAAGTTTTAGATTTTTTCCATTTTTCATCCTTTCATGTTTCGTTTTTTTGATTTTCAGCTATTCAATGTTTCGATTTTTGAATTTTTCGTTTTTTCAGGATTTTGATTTTTCACTTCCTCGATTTTTTACATTTTTGCCTTCGATTTTTCAAGTTTTCGATTTCTCGATTTTTACAATTTTTGGATATTTCAGTTTTGGAATTTTTCATTGCAGATTTCAAAATTTAAATTTTGCCACTTTTCAATTTCTCGATTTTTTACTTTTTCGATTTTGAAATTGTAGATTAAACTTTCCGATTTTTTGATGTTTCGATTTCTCAATTTTACAATCTTTTGATTTTCAGTTTTTCTTTCATTTTTTAATTTTTCGATATTTCAGTTTTGAGATTTTCGATTTTTCGATTTTTTTCGAATTGTTTCCGATTTTTAAATTTTGCAATATTTAATTTTTTGACATTTTGATTACATGATTTTTCTACTTTTCAATATTCAAAATTCAAATATTCTTCGATATTTTCATTTTTCAACTTTTAAAATTTTAGATTTTTCAATTTCTCAATTCTTCATACCTTCGATTTTCTATTTTTCAATTTTTCGAATTTTTAAACAATTTTTGATGTTTCGATTTAGCAATATTTAGATTTCTCGACCTCAAAGTTTTAGAAGTTCCGGTTTTCAAATTTTTCGGTTTTTCATGTTTTTTTTCCTTTTTCGATTTTTTAAATATCCGATTTTTCAATTTTTTGATGTTTCATTTTCGGGATTCTTTCATTTCTCGATTAAATTTTTTTGGATTTTCAATTTTTCGATATTTCAGTTTTGCGACTTCTCAATATGTATTTCGTTTCTACAATTTTTCGATTTCGGACTTTTTGATTTTTCAGATTTTTAAATTCCTCAATTTTTCAATTTTTTCATGTTCCGATTTCTTGGTTTTTCAATTTTTCGATTCTTCAATTTTTCTTCCATTTTTCAATTTTTTAATATTTCAGTTCTGGTATTTTTCAATATTTCAATTCTTCAATTTTTCGACTTTTTGATTTTTCGAATTCTCAATTGTTTACTTTTTCGATTTTCCAATGTTTTCAGTTTTTGATTTTGATTTTTCAATTTTTCAATTTCACGGTTTACAGAGTTTTCGATGTTTCAAACATTTTCGGCTTTACGATTTTTCGTATTTTCATTTTTGTTTGTCACACCATATAAATTGCTACTTTTTTTGCATATGTACATAAAAAAATAAAACAGTTTTAAAATTAATGCTTTTTATTTCTCAAACAACTTTCACATATTGCCTTTAAATCAAAAACGTCAACCTTTCAGAGTAATACATTAATAGTTGAAGTACTCATCGATGCCATAGCTTGGTTTAGGGTAGTACTGCTGCCCATAACCGTACTGTTTGTACTGTTGTCCCTGCTGCTTGTACTGCTGGTTAGCATTCTGCTGCTGGTAGTACTGCTGCGAGTTGTAGTTCTTGGTGTTGGTGTAGTCCCTCTGCGCGGGATAGTACTGCTTCTGCCTGTAGTACTCTTGCTGAGAATAGTTAACCGCATCAGAATCCCTATGGTAAACCTTAGTTTCATACATATACGCATTAGGAATAGTGTAGAACACTTTCTCCCAATACACTGGACGGTCGAAAGGATAACCCATTGGATAAGCATCAACATACTGAGATCCGGTACCAACCATCGGTACATCAGCCTTCTGGGTTTTGTAGGGTACAGTTTTCGCAACGAAAACGTAGAACTGGTATGGCACACCACCATAAGATCCCTTTGGCAGCATGTACTTTTGTGGGAAACCAAACCAGTATTGGTTACCCTTGGCAGTATATTGCTCCTCTTGCACACCCATAACCTTCTGGTACCCTTGGTAGTACGAAGTCCTGTCGTGCATGTAGTTGTAGATTTCGCGGGAGTTCCTGGTGATCACGTTCTGACCAGACTTGAGCTTGTAGACGAAGTGGTCGAACTGAACGAAGTTCATCCAGTTTTCGGTCAAGTTGATGTAGCGGCCGTACTCGTCGTACTTAGGACCCAGGAATACTTTAACTACGGCTTCGGTTTCGGTTTGAGAGTCCACGTAGACTTTGTAGGTGAAAGCTTTGTGGTTGAGGCGCTGTTGGGCTACTTGGACTTTGAAGGAGTCCTGGACGAATTCTTCAGGAGTCACGTAGACGGCGCTGCTCAAATCGGCGTAGTAGTAGTCGAAGTAGGTGACAAGACGGTCGAATTCCACATTCTTGACCTCCACACCTTCGTAGACGAGGTCTCTGTCGGTGTAGTACTTGTAGTGTTGGGCCTTGAACTTGAAGAAGAAGGTGATGAGTTTCTTGTAGAGTTGGTAGAAGGCGGGGTCGCGCATGCAGGTTTCGAAGTGTTCAAGGGCCGAAGGGTAGAGCTTGTGGTAGCTAATGGGGGTGAAAGAGTAACCCAGGAGGTGACGGGCGAAGACTTGGTAGGCGCCGTAGTACTGGTAGTAGGGGGAGTCTGGGTTTCCTTCAATCAGGTTTCCTAGGGTGTTGATGCCTTCTTGGGTGAAAAGTTCGACTACTTGTCCGGATTTCTACGAAACAAAAGGGTGACATTGTAGGTGATTCAAACCCAACGACTAAGTACTTACGGTCATGACGTAGCCACTGTCGATGGCATCACGGATCCTCCTTTCGTAGTCCTGGACGTAGCTGTAGCTGTAGGCGTACTTGTTGGAGCCGTATTTCTGGCCGTAGTTGTAGAAGTACTCATACAAGTGGGCGTAGTTGGGTCTGACTGGGAATTGAGCTCCAGATGGGTAAGTCAACGATGGGTAGTATCCAGTTTCGAAAGGTACTTCCCAGTTGTAGACAGAGATTTCGCCGAAGTCGTTCGAGATACGTTCCAAGTGGTACCTGGCCAGGATTTGTTGGTACATGTAGTAGAAAAGTTCACCACGGTTGTCGTATTTCAGGTTGAATTCTTCGCCGTTCATCCAGTAAGGGTAGTACAAGTTGTAGTAATAGTAGAAGGAGTTGATTCCCACATCTTCGGTGAAGTACGACAAAGACTGCTCGGGGTGCAAGTTCAAATAGTACCCGGAGTAGTTAGCATAGATGGTCTTGCCGTTGTACTGAGCACCATACTGACCACGGTACATCTGCTTGTAGAACTGGGCTTCTTGGATTACTTCGGAGTTGTAGAAGTAGTACGGGTACACTTCATAGATTGGTGGCAAAGCATAGTAGTAGGTGTCTGGACGATGGATCAAAGCAACGGAAAGAGAATACAGGTACATTCCTTCGTTGACATTGTTCCTAGCCCATACAGCCGTCTTGTAGAAAGTCTCCCAAGTGTTGGCATAGTAGAAAAGCTTGAACAAAGCGATAGCTTGCTTCAGGTGCTCTTGGTAGAACACTGAGAAGATCTCGCCTCTTTGGAGAGCCTTTCCGTAGTACCAGTAGTTGTAGAATTCTTCAACGGCTTCAGGTTTCTACACAATCAAAGATTAATTTATTAATGTACACTTGGTGTGAAGGTTGAAACTCACCGTGTATTCGGGTTTGTTCTCGTAGAAGCGGTAGCTCTTGCCAATTTCGATGTGGTCCGGGTAGTAGCTGAGTTGGTTCACGTACTTGAACAAACGGTAGATTTCCTTCTGTCGTGATGCTTGGTATCCAGTGCCTGTATAAAAATTAGACTTTATAGTTCCAAAAAATGTATGCTTACCATTGGGGACGGAGACAGCGGCGCAAAGGCCTGCGAGTAAAGCTACCAAAAGGAATCTCATGTTTGTTGTGTGACCAACCGACGAGAATGATTTGTCGCAGGACAGCACACCTTTTATATGAAATTAACTTTAACCCTCCCTGACCTTACAGATAAAAGTGATTGTACCTAAGTAAAATAATATTCGTTTACGTAATTGTTTACTGCTTTGACGGATTTGATTGTTGTCAGCTGGAATATTTCTGCCAGGGTCTTATCGTATAATTATGTTTACGAGATTGAGTTAAAGCAAAATGCAAGTACTTACGGTCATGACGTAGCCACTGTCGATGGCATCACGGATCCTCCTTTCGTAGTCCTGGACGTAGCTGTAGCTGTAGGCGTACTTGTTGGAGCCGTATTTCTGGTCGTAGTTGTAGAAGTACTCATACAAGTGGGCGTAGTTGGGTCTGACTGGGAATTGGGCTCCAGATGGGTAAGTCAACGATGGGTAGTATCCAGTTTCGAAAGGTACTTCCCACTTGTAGACAAAGATTTCTCCGAATCAATTTTTTATTTCAATTTTTAAATTTTTAATTCTTCAATTTTTCCATTTTTTAATGTTTAGATCTTTCATTTATCCAATTTTTGGATGTTTCAATTTTTCTACCATTTTTCAATGTTTTGATATTTCAGCTTTGGGATTTTCGATTTTGTTCGATTTTCAAATTTTAGATTTTTTAATTTTTCAAATTTTCGGTTTTTATGATGCTTTGATTACATGATTTTTCAATTTTTCGATTCGCTAGTATTTTAATTTTTCGTTTTTTTTGGGATTTTGAGTTTTCCCTTTTTCGATTTTTTAATTTTAGATTCTTCAATTTTTCCATTTTTTGATGTTTCGATCTTTCATTTTTTCAATTTTTGAATTTTTCAATTTTTCTTAAGTTCTTCAATTTTTAATTTTTCAAATTTTCGGTCTTAATGATATTTTGATTACAAGATTTTTCAATTTTTTCGAATCGTTGATATTTTAGTTTTTCGTTTTTTCGGGATTTTGAGTTTTCTCTTTTTCGATTTTTAAAATTTTTAACTTTCCAATTTCGATTTTTCGAGATTTCAATTTTTAATTTTTCAATGATTCAATTTTAAATTTTTTCCATTTTTCAATTTTTCGATCCTTTGATGCTTCGCTTTCGTGATTTTCAGTTACTCAATATTTCAGTTTTGAATTTTTCGTTCTTTCAGGATTTTGATTTTTCAGGTTTTCGATTTTTAAAATTTTTAATCTCTCGACTATGATTTTTCGACTTTTCAATTTTTCAATTTTTCGATTCTTTGATTTCTTGATTTCTTCAATTCTTCAATTCTTCCATAGTTTAGTTTTTCAATTTTCAAAATTTTCAAATTTTCGGTCCCTCAATTTTTCAGTTCATTATTTCTATTTTTCAGGTTTTGGTTTTTCAATTCATGGGTTTTCTGTTGTTTCAATTTCTCGATTTTTCAATTTTTAGATTCTTCAATTTTTCAAGTATCCGATTTTTCGATTACTCGATTTTTTGCTTGTTCGATTTTTCAAATTTTCGATTTTTAAATGGTAGATTTTGTGCATTTTTCAAATTTTCGGTACATTGTGTTTCGATTCCTTAATTTTTCAGTTATTCTGTATTTCGATTTTTGAATTTTTCGTTTTTTCAGGAATCTGATTTTGCATTGTTGTGATTTTTATAATACTTCGTTTTTTCAGGATTTTGATTTTTTCCTTTCCCAATTTTTAAAATTCTTGACTTTTCAACTGCGATTTTTTTCGATTTCTCAATTTTTTCATGTCTCAGTTTTAAAATTTTTCAATGTGTATTTCAAAAATTCAATTTTTCGATTTTACGACTTTCCAATTGCTTTTTCTCATTTTCTCGATTTTTGTTACTTTTCGATTTTTAAATTTTAGATTCTTAAATTTTTCAATCTTTTAATGTTTTGAATTTTAGATTTTTTAATTTCTTGATTCTTCAATTTTTCGATACTTTAATTTGTACAATTTTTAAAATTTCGATTTTTGAATTCTTTGATATTTCGATTTTTCAGGTTTTTGGTTTTTCAATTCTTGGATTTTTCGGGATTTTGGTTTTTAAGTTCATCGGTTTTCTGACGCTTCGATTTCCCAATTATTCAATTTTTCGATTTTTTATTATTTCCATTTTTCGATTTTTAAATTTTAAATTTTTGCCATTTTTCAATATTTCGATTCTTTGATGTTTCGATTTCTTTATTTTTCATTTGTTCATTGTTTCGATTTTCAGGTCTTTGAATTTTCACTTTTTCGATTTCTAAAATTTTTGACTTTTCAACTTCGATTTTTCGACTTTTCGATTATTCGATGTTTGCAATTTTTCGATTTTCCAATTTTTTGATGTTTCAGTTCTGGAATTTTTCAATTTTTTGATTTTCCAATAGTTCGATATTACCGTTTTGTAATTTTTCATTTTGTATTTCAAAATATCAATTTTTTATTTCAATTTTTAAATTTTAGATTCTTCAATTTTGCCATTTTTTAATGTTTAGATCTTTCATTTATCCAATTTTTTAATTTTTCAATTTTTCTACCATTTTTCAATGTTTTGATATTTCAGCTTTGGGATTTTTGATTTTTCGATTTTGTTCGATTTTCAAATTTTAGATTTTTTAATTTTTCAAATTTTCCGTTTTTATGATGCTTTGATTACCTGATTTTTCAATTTTTCGATTCGCTAGTATTTTAATTTTTCGTTTTTTTTGGGATTTTGAGTTTTCCCTTTTTCGATTTTTAAAATTTTTGAATTTCAACTTAGATTTTTTTTATTTTTCAATTTTTGAATTTTAAATTTTTACCATTTTTTAAATTTTTCGATCTTTCGATGCTTCGTTTTCTTGATTTTCGGTTATTTAGTATTCCAATTTTTTAATTTTTCGTTCTTCCAGGAATTTGATTTTTCACTTTTTCTATTTTTAAAATTTTTGACTTTTAGGCTTCAATTTTTCGACTTTCCAATTTTGCTAATTTTTCGATTTTAAAATATTAGATTCTTAAATTTTTCCATTTTTTGATTCGATTTTTTAATTTTTAGATTTTTCAATTTTTCTTCCATTTTTCAATTTTTCAATATTTCAGTTTTGGGACTTTCGATTTCTTAAATTTTCGGTGATTTTGATATTTTGATTACATGATTTTTCACTTTTTTGATTATTCGATATTTTAATTTTTCACTATTTCCGGATTTTGGTTTTTCACCTTTTCGATTTTTTAAAATTTTGGCTTTTCAGCTTCGACTTATCGACTTTTTTTTCGATGTTTACAATTTTTCGATTTCCCAATTTTTTGGTGTTTTAGTTCTGGACTTTTTCAAATTTCGATTTAAGTTTTCAATTTTTCGATATTTCAGTTTTGAAATTTTTCATTTTGTATTTCAAATATCATTTTTTCATTTCGATTTTTCAATTTTAGATTCTTCAACTTTTCCTTTTTGATGTTTCGATCTTTCATTTTTTGAAATTTTTCTTCCATTTTTCAATTTTTTGATATTTCAGTTTTAGCATTTTCGATTTTTAGATTTTGTTGGATTTTTAAAGTAAAATTTTAAATTTTAGCAATTTTTCAATTTTTCAATCCTTTGATGTTTCGTTTCCTTGATTTTCGGTTACTCAATATTTCAATTTTTGAATTTTTCGTTCCTTCAGGATTTTGATTTTTAATTTTTTCGATTTTCAAAATTTTTGACTTTGCAATTTCAATTTCTCGACTTTCCAATTTTGCTACTTCTTCGATTTTTAAATCTTAGGTTCTTTAATTTTTCGAATTTTTGATTCGATTTTTCAATTTTTCGATATTTCAATTTTGAGATTTTGTTCGACTTTTAAATTTTGGATTTTTTTATTTTTCAAATTTTCAGTGTTTTTGATGTTTTGACTAGGTACATGATTTTTCAATTTTCTGATTCTTCGATATTTTAATATTTCATTATTTCAGGATTTTGATTTTTCACCTTTTCGATTGTTTAAATTTTTGACTTTTCAACTTCCATTTTTCAACTTCGATTTTTTTAAATTTTTAATTTTTAAATTTTAGATTTTTTTCACTTTTCAATTCGATTTTTCAGTTTTGGACATTTCAGTTTTGGAATTTTTCTTTGTATATTTCAAAACTTCAATTTTGCTACTTTTCAATTTCTCGATTTTTTACTTTTTTGCTTCAATTTTTGGATTTTTTGATGTCTCGATTTCTCAATTTTGCAATTTTTTGACTTTCAGTTTTTTTTTCATTTTTCAATTTTTCGATTTTTAGTTTTCAGTTTTTCGATTCAATTTTTTTTTTATTTTCAATTTTTTCACATTTCATTTCTAGGATCTTTCAATATTTCAACACTTTAATTTTTCGACTTTTTGATTTTTCGATTTCTCGATTTTTTTACTTTTTCGATTTTTCAATTTTTCGATATTTTAATTTTTCAATTTTTGAAATTTGAGATATTTATGGATTTCTCGATTTTCAGTTCGATGATACTTCGATTTTTCAATTTTTCGAAACATTAAATTATAGATTTTTCAGTTTTTTGATGTTTCGAGTTCTAGTCCTTTCATTTTTTACATTTTTCAATCTTTCAATGTTTTCAGTTTTTAATTTCGATTTTTCAATTTTTCAATTTCACGATTTACCGAGTTTTCAATTCTAGGATTTTCGATTTTTTAACGTATGTACATAAAAAAAGAAAACAGTTTTTAAAATTAATGCTTTTTATTTCTCAAACAACCTTCACATATTGCCTTTAAATCAAAAACGTCAACCTTTCAGAGTAATACATTAATAGTTGAAGTACTCATCGATGCCATAGCTTGGTTTAGGGTAGTACTGCTGCCCATAACCGTACTGTTTGTACTGTTGTCCCTGCTGCTTGTACTGCTGGTTAGCATTCTGCTGCTGGTAGTACTGCTGCGAGTTGTAGTTCTTGGTGTTGGTGTTGTCCCTCTGCGCGGGATAGTACTGCTTCTGCCTGTAGTACTCTTGCTGAGAATAGTTAACCGCATCAGAATCCCTATGGTAAACCTTAGTTTCATACATATACGCATTAGGAATAGTGTAGAACACTTTCTCCCAATACACTGGACGGTCGAAAGGATAACCCATTGGATAAGCATCAACATACTGAGATCCGGTACCAACCATCGGTACATCAGCCTTCTGGGTTTTGTAGGGTACAGTTTTCGCAACGAAAACGTAGAACTGGTATGGCACACCACCATAAGATCCCTTTGGCAGCATGTACCTTTGTGGGAAACCAAACCAGTATTGGTTACCCTTGGTAGTATATTGCTCCTCTTGCACACCCATGACCTTCTGGTACCCTTGATAGTACGAAGTCCTGTCGTGCATGTAGTTGTAGATTTCGCGGGAGTTCCTGGTGATCACGTTCTGACCAGACTTGAGCTTGTAGACGAAGTGGTCGAACTGAACGAAGTTCATCCAGTTTTCGGTCAAGTTGATGTAGCGTCCGTACTCGTCGTACTTAGGACCCAGGAATACTTTAACTACGGCTTCGGTTTCGGTTTGAGAGTCAACGTAGACTTTGTAGGTGAAAGCTTTGTGGTTGAGGCGCTGTTGGGCTACTTGGACTTTGAAAGAGTCCTGGACGAATTCTTCAGGAGTCACGTAGACGGCGCTGCTCAAATCGGCGTAGTAGTAGTCGAAGTAGGTGACAAGACGGTCGAATTCCACATTCTTGACTTCCACACCTTCGTAGACGAGGTCTCTTTCGGTGTAGTACTTGTAGTGTTGGGCCTTGAACTTGAAGAAGAAGGTGATGAGTTTCTTGTAGAGTTGGTAGAAGGCGGGGTCGCGCATGGAGGTTTCGAAGTGTTCAAGGGCTGAAGGGTAGAGCTTGTGGTAGCTGATGGGGGTGAAAGAGTAACCCAGGAGGTGACGGGCGAATACTTGGTAGGCGCCGTAGTACTGGTAGTAGGGGGAGTCTGGGTTTCCTTCAATCAGGTTTCCTAGGGTGTTGATGCCTTCTTGCGTGAAGAGTTCGACTACTTGTCCGGATTTCTACCAAAACAAAAGGGTGACATTGTAGGTGATTCAAACCCAACGATTAAGTACTTACGGTCATGACGTAGCCACTGTCGATGGCATCACGGATCCTCCTTTCGTAGTCCTGGACGTAGCTGTAGCTGTAGGCGTACTTGTTGGAGCCGTATTTCTGGCCGTAGTTGTAGAAGTACTCATACAAGTGGGCGTAGTTGGGTCTGACTGGGAATTGAGCTCCAGATGGGTAAGTCAACGATGGGTAGTATCCAGTTTCGAAAGGTACTTCCCAGTTGTAGACAGAGATTTCGCCGAAGTCGTTCGAGATACGTTCCAAGTAGTACCTGGCCAGGATTTGTTGGTACATGTAGTAGAAAAGTTCACCACGGTTGTCGTATTTCAGGTTGAATTCTTCGCCGTTCATCCAGTAAGGGTAGTACAAGTTGTAGTAATAGTAGAAGGAGTTGATTCCCACATCTTCGGTGAAGTACGACAAAGACTGCTCGGGGTGCAAGTTCAAGTAGTACCCAGAGTAGTTAGCATAGATGGTCTTGCCGTTGTACTGAGCACCATACTGACCACGGTACATCTGCTTGTAGAACTGGGCTTCTTGGATAACTTCGGAGTTGTAGAAGTAGTACGGGTACACTTCATAGATTGGTGGCAAAGCATAGTAGTAGGTGTCTGGACGATGGATCAAAGCAACGGAAAGAGAGTAAAGGTACATTCCTTCGTTGACATTGTTCCTAGCCCATACAGCCGTCTTGTAGAAAGTCTCCCAAGTGTTGGCATAGTAGAAAAGCTTGAACAAAGCGATAGCTTGCTTCAGGTGCTCTTGGTAGAACACTGAGAAGATCTCGCCTCTTTGGAGAGCCTTTCCGTAGTACCAGTAGTTGTAGAATTCTTCAACGGCTTCAGGTTTCTACACAATCAGACATTAATTTATTAATGTACTTGGTGTGAAGGTTGAAACTCACCGTGTACTCGGCTTTGTTCTCGTAGAAGCGGTAGCTCTTGCCAATTTCGATGTGGTCCGGGTAGTAGCTGGGTTGGTTCACGTACTTGAACAAACGGTAGATTTCCTTCTGTCGTGATGCTTGGTATCCAGTGCCTGTAAAAAAATTAGACTTTATAGTTCCAAAAAATGTATGCTTACCATTGGGGACGGAGACGGCGGCGCAAAGGCCTGCGAGTAAAGCTACCAAAAGGAATCTCATGTTTGTTGTGTGACCAACCGACGAGAATGATTTGTCGGAGGACAGCACACCTTTTATATGAAATTAACTTTAACCCTCCATGACCTTACAGATAAAAGTGATTGTACCTAAGTAAAATAATATTCGTTTACGTAATTGTTTACTGCTTTGACGGATTTGATTGTTGTCAGCTGGAATATTTCTGCCAGGGTCTTATCGTATAATTATGTTTACGAGAGTGAGTTAAGGCAAAATGCATTTGTTTCCAAGGGGTGATTGCTTATCAATGTTCGAGAAAAAAATATTATCATAAAAATGCTTTGGTTGTTTTTAACAGGTGAATAAATCAGCGCTTTGGTGATTAATTTGAAAAAAAAAAATTTTTCGTTTCATGTTAACTTGTAATTTATATTTATAGTTGGTTATCAGAAATTTACAAAGTGACAACAGATGTTTTAAATAATTATGTAATAACACTAAACTAATTAAGACTTATTATTAAATGGTTGATAAGAGTTACTATCACAACAAAATTGATACCCACTAGGATATTGAACCGATCTTAACCCTGGGTACTTTTTGGGTAAGTTGGACAAAATACTAATACAATTTTTAGGGTGTTCTGAGTGTTGACCTTAGTACTAATAGAATCGTTAGTAGAGTACACCTGAGCATTTGTTCTCATACTAGTACCATTATCACAAAATTTGACCGAATCCGGAGTCACCTTTATCGCCATTTATAAATAGGCAGTTTCCATATCGCTCCTATTCAAACAAAAAAAAAACAACAAAAATAAATCGCTCACAATGTTGCAACCACGTGTGGCTTATCTCCCTTAGGTACAATTTTCAAAACAAACTCGTATCTTCGGGGTCAGGGATGCGATTAATTTTAAATCAATATAAAAAGGTAACGTGAAAAAAACTGAGCCATTCTCGCTGGTTCGTGCGACCACAAACATGAGATTCATCTTGGTAGCTTTGCTTTTTGGCCTTTGTGCCGTCTCTGCGATCTCAGGTAAGAAAGTGTATTTTTTCCCAAACCCAACTATAGTACCATTTTTTTCCAAGAAACTAGCAACTACTCACAAAAGCAAAAAGATGTGTGGCGCCTCTTCAAGTACATCAACCAGCCAAGCTTCTACAAGGATCACGTAGAAATCGCCCAACACTACCATCTACACCAACACGTGGACTCTTACACCGTAGGTACTATGATTTTTTTGAAAATTTGTTACTATGGTTGTTCAATCTAGAAACCTGAAGTCGTCCACGAGTTCATCAAGTACTATCAACACGGCAAGCTTCTCCAACGTGGTGAGATCTTCTCCGTCTTCAATGGAGAACACCTGAAGCAAGCTATTGCTCTTTACAAGATCTTCTACTACGCTCATGATTATGAAACTTTCTACCAGACGGCGGTTTGGGCTCGCCAACATGTCAATGAAGGGTTGTTCCTCTACTCCTTCTCCGTCGCTCTTGTGCATCGTCCTGATACCTACTATTTCTCGCTTCCTCCAATCTACGAAATCTACCCACACTATTTCTATAGTACCGAGGTTATTCAAGAAGCCCAGTTGTACAAACAGATGTACTACGGTCACGAATCCCACTACAACGACAAGACCATCTACGCTAACTACTCTGGGTACTACCTCAATCTGCACCCTGAGCAAGCTCTGTCGTACTTCACCGAAGATGTGGGTATCAACTCCTTCTACTACTACTACAACCTGTACTATCCATTCTGGATGAGCGGGGAGGAATTTAACCTGAAGTACGACCACCGTGGCGAACTTTTCTACTACATTCATCAGCAAATCTTAGCTCGGTACTATTTGGAGCGTCTGTCGCATGGTTATGGAGAAATCGATCATTTCGACTGGGAGGTACCTTTCCACACCGGGTACTACCCATCGTTGTCGTACCCCAACGGTCTGCATTTCCCAGTCAGACCCAACTACGTCCACCTCCACGAGTACTTCTACAACTATGGCCAGAAATACGGCTCCAACAAATACGCTTACAGCTACAGCTACGTCCAGGACTACGAAAGAAGGATTCATGACGCCATTGACAGCGGTTTTGTACTAACTCACTCCGGCTCCAAAGTCAACTTGTTCTCCCACGAAGGTATCAACATTCTGGGTAACTTGATCGAAGGCAACCCCGACTCTCCCTACTACAAGTACTACGGAGCGTACCAAGTCTTCGCGCGTCACCTTCTAGGGTACTCCCACCAACCCTTCGACCACCACCAAGTCCACCCATCGGCTCTCGAGCACTTTGAAACCTCCCTTCGTGACCCAGCTTTCTACCAACTTTACAAGAAACTCATCGTGTTCTTCATCAAGTACAAGTCGCAACATCTTCATCATTATTCTGAACACGATTTAGCGTACCATGGTGTTCATGTAAAGAACGTAGAAGTCGATGCTTTGGTTACCTACTTCGACTACTTCTACGCTGATTTGAGCAATGCTGTCTACGTCACTCCTGAGGAATTCGTTCAGGATAGTTTCAAGGTCCATGTTGCCCAAGAACGCCTCAACCATAAACCTTTCACCTACAAGGTTTACGTCGATTCTGACAAGGAAACCGAGGCTGTGGTTAAAGTTTTCCTGGGTCCTAAATATGATGAGTACGGTCGCTACATCAACTTGACCGAAAACTGGGTTAACTTTGTCCAGTTGGACCATTTCGTCTACAAGTTGCAGCAGGGACAAAACGTCATCGCTAGGAACTCTCGCGAAATCTATAACTACATTCACGATAGAACTTCGTACTATCAGTTGTACCAGAAGGCATTTGGTGTTCATGATGAGAGCCACAACTTCCAGTTCCACCATGACCAATTCTGGTTTGGTTTCCCACAAAGGTAGGTTTTTGGCACTTTTTTGTTAGTACCAAGAAGGTGACGGTTTTTCTTTACAGCCAAATGCTACCAATGGGATCTCATGGTGGTACCACCTATCAGCTGTACGTGGTAGTCAGCAAATCGCTCCCATACAAATCTCAAGCCAGTATCAATGTACCAGTTGTTGGTTCTGGACAGCAGTACGTTGATGCCTACCCAATGGGTTATCCCTTCGATCGTCCAGTGTACTACGAGAAGATCTTCTACGATATCCCCAACTCGTACTTCCAGGATGTGGAGATCTACCATGAGGGACACAAGGGTCAAGTTTCCCACCATCATGAACAATAAAATGTATATATTTTTGTAACGAACAAGGCAATGCTTATGGCGAACTCTGAATGAGAATAAATATAAATAGCGAAATTTTGTGTCTTTTTGACTTTTCTTCGAAAAAATAATTTCACAATTATTATTTAAGTTTTAAAGATTTGAGATTTTCTAAAAACCTTTACGATTTTATACATTAGAAGTTTCAAATTGTAATAAAGATATTAAAGATTGTAGATAAACTAAAGTTCTAATGTTCTAATTATAAGAAAGATCCAACAAAATCTTAAAAATTTTGAAGAACCTGGGGGTACTAATGATCCTAGAAATTGTAAACATTCTAAACTTTGTAAAACTTTTAATAATTCTAAAGTGCCCAAAATTTCCAAAGCTTGGAACTATTCTAAGAAATTTGGATTCTAAAGACTTTTTTAAAGGTCCTGAAGAATCTAAAAACTTTGAAGATTTTATAGATCTAAAGACTCAAAACTAAAAAAAAAATTAAATTTTGTTTCAAATGTTTCAAAATTGTACAGGTTCTAGAGAAATTCCAGAAATCCAAAGATTCTATAACTTGTAAAAATCACTCTTACAATGTCAAAAGATTTTAAAGATTCCAAAGACTAAAAAGGAACCAAATTTTGGGAAATTTGAAAAAGTCTAGGAAATGAGACAAAATATGGTAGACCTATATATCTTGAAAATTTCGAAAAAGTTTGAATTTTAAAATTCTTTTAAACTAGACCCTGAAAATTTTATAAATTTTGGAAAACCTGGAAATTTTGGGCATTTTATATATTTCGGAAAATCTGAAAAATCGAGTGCTTTTCAAAATTTTGCAAATAATGAAATTCGGTAAAATTAAAAAAAAAGTCATTAGGAAATGTCAAAAGCTTACACAATATTAACGTTGTAGTGATTTTAAAATTCCAAAATTTTTAAAAATTTAAAAGATTCTAAAGATTGGAAACATTCTCAAGACCTTAAAGACTCCATACACAAAAAATTGCAAATTGTAAAGATACTAAGAATTCTAAGTGAACTAAAGTTATAGTATTCTAAACATAAGAAAATCCAACAAAATGTTAAACATTTTAAAGAACCTGGAAGTACTAACGATCTTAGAAATTGTAAAAATTCTAAACTTTATAAAATTTCTAGTAGTTCTAAAGTGTCCAAAATTTTCAAAGATTGGAAAGACTCTAAGGACTCTGGATTCTAGAGAGTCTAACATAAAACTCTGAATACTCAAGATTCTAAAGATTCTAAACATTCTAAAAATTTTAAGGACGAAGAGTCTAAAAATTTTTTAGTTTGTAAAGATTCTAAAGGCTCAAATATTAAGATGTTTAAAATTCTGTTTCAAATGTTTTAAAGATTTTAAAGGTTATAGAGAAATTCCAAAAAACCAAAAATCCAAAAATTCTAAAACTTGTAAAATCACGTGACTGTAAAGAAAACAAAAATTTTTAAAAGTATGGCAAAAATTGTAAAGCGGGAAAAAATTTAAATATCATGCTAACCTGGAGAATCTGAAAATTCTAGAAATTTTGAAAATTATCTAAATTATGAAAATCCCCAAAAATTAAAATATTGATAAAATTATGAAATCTCAGAAATTTAAAATGTTTCAAAACTTTCAAAAATTCTAAAGACTGGAGAAATTCTAAAGACATTATTAAAGATTCCATACACTAGAAATTGCAAATTGTAAATTCACTAAAGATTCTAAATAAACTGCTCTAACTTTCTAAGTAGAAGAAAAATCTAACAAAAGCTTGCAAATTGTAAACTTGGAGGTATAAATGCTATAAATTCTAAAAATTCTAAACTTTACAAAATTTCTAGTAATTCTAAAGTATCCAAGAATTCCAAAAATTGGAAAGGCTAAGGATTTTGAGAACCCTGAGGAATCTAGAGAGTCTAAATAATATAAAGATTCCAAAGATTTTAAAGATTCTAAATATTCTAAAGATTCTTAAGATTCTGAAGATTTTGAAGATTCTGAAGATTCTGAAGATTCTGAAAATTCTGTAGGTTCTGAAAGTTCTAACGATTCTAAAGGTTCTAACAATTCTAAAGATTCTAAAGATTCCAAAGACTTCAAAGATTCTGAAGCTTCTAAAGATTCTAAAGATTCTGAAGTTTCTAAAGGTTCTAAAGATTCTAAAGATTCCAAAGATTCTAAAGATTCTAAAGATTCTAAAGATTCTAAAGATTCTAAAGATTCTAAAGATTCTAAAGATTCTAAAGATTCTGAAGATTCTGAAGATTCTGAAGATTCTGAAGATTCCAAAGATTCTTAAGATTCTGAAGATTTCAAAGATTCTTAAGATTCTGAAGATTCGAAAAATTCGGAAGGTTGCGAAGGCTCCGAAGGTTCCGAAGAATCTTAAAGATATTTAAGATTCTAAAAATGATAAAGATTCTAAAAATCCTAAAGATTCTGAAGATTCTAAAGATTCTAAAAATTCCAAAGATTCTGAAGATTCTGAAGATTCTGAAGATTCTGAAGATTCTGAAGATTCTGAAGATTCTGAAGATTCTGAAGATTCTGAAGATTCTGAAGATTCTGAAGATTCTGAAGATTCTGAAGATTCTGAAGATTCTGAAGATTCTGAAGATTCTGAAGATTCTGAAGATTCTGAAGATTCTGAAGATTCTGAAGATTCTGAAGATTCTGAAGATTCTGAAGATTCTGAAGATTCTGAAGATTCTGAAGATTCTGAAGATTCTGAAGATTCTGAAGATTCTGAAGATTCTGAAGATTCTGAAGATTCTGAAGATCCTGAAGATTCTGAAGATCCTGAAGATTCTGAAGATCCTGAAGATTCTGAAGATTCTGAAGATTCTGAAGATTCTGAAGATTCTAAAGATTCTAAAGATTTCAAAGATTCTAAAGATTCCAAAGATTCTAAAGTTCCTAAAGGTTCTAAAGTTCCTAAAGGTTTTAAAGATTCTAAAGATTCTAAAGATTCTAAAGATTCTAAAGATTCTAAAGATTCTAAAGATTCTAAAGATTCTAAAGATTCTAAAGATTCTAAAGATTCTAAAGATTCTAAAGATTCTAAAGATTCTAAAGATTCTTAAGATTCTAAAGATTCTAAAGTTTCTAAAGATTCTGAAGATTCTGAAGATTCTGAAAATTCTGAAGATTCTGAAGATTCTGAAGATTCTGAAGATTCTGCAGATTCCGAAGATTCCAAAGATTCTAAAGATTCTAAAAATTCTAAAGATCAAAAATTTCCAAATTTTGTTAAATTTGAAAAAGTCTAAGAAATGAGACAAAATATGGTAGACCTACATATATTGAAAATTTCGAAAAAGTTTGAATTTTAAAATTCTTGTAAACTAGACCTTGAAACTTTTAGAAATTTTGGAAATCCTGGAAAATTTGGGCATTTTATAAATTTCGGAAAACCTGAAAAATCGGGTTCATCTCGAATATCTGAAAATGCTAGTAATTTTCAAAATTTTGCAAACTATAAAATTCGGTAAAATTAAAAAAATTAAGTCATTAACCAAGGTCAAAAGCTTACAATATTAACAGTGTAGTGATTTTAAAATTCCAAAGTTTTCAAAAATTTAAAAGATTCTAAAGATTGGAAACATTCTAAAGACCTTAAAGATTCCATACACAAAAAATTGTAAAGATACTAAAGATTCTACGTAAACTAAAGTTATAGTGTTCTAAACATAAGAAAGATCCAACAAAATCTTAAACATTTTAAAGAACCTGGAAGAACTAACGATCTTAGAAATTGTAAAATTTCAAAACCTTATAAAATTTCTAGTAATTCTAAAGTGTCAAAAATTTCCAAAGATTGAAAAAACTAAAGACTTTGGATTCTAAAGAGTCTAACCTAAAACTCTGAATGTTCAAAATTTAAGAATTAAGAAGAATTTCTAAGAATTTTGAAGGACAAAGAGTCTAAAAATTTTATAGATTATAAAGATTCTAAACACTCAGATATTAAGATTTTTAGAATTCTGTTTCAAATGTTTCAAAGATTTTAACGATTATAGAGAAATTCCAAAAATCCAAAAACTCTAAAACTTGCAAAAATCACGTGACTGTAAAGAAAACAAAAATTCCAAAAATTTGTAGACTCTTGAGGTCTATAAATTTTGAAAAATTTGAAAAAAATTGTAAAGCGGGAAAAATTTGAAACATCATGCTAACCTGGAGAATCTGAAAATTCTAGAAATTTTTAAAAATTTTTAATTTATGAAAATAATAATATCTATAAAATTATGAAATCTCAAAATTTCCAAATGCTTGAAAGATTTAAAATGTTTCAAAACTTTCAAAAATTCTAAAGACTGGAGAAATTCTAAAGATATTATTAAAGATTCCATACACTAGAAATTGCAAATTGTAAATTCACTAAAGATTTTAAATAAACTGCTCTAACTTTCTAAGTGGAAGAGAAATCTAACAAAAGCTTGCAAATTGTAAACTTGGAGGTACTAATGATGCTATAAATTCTAAAAATTCTAAACTTTAAAAAATTTCTAGTAATTCTCAAGTATCCAAGAATTCCAAAAATTAGAAAGGCTAAGGATTTTGAGAACTCTGAGGACTCTAGAGAGTCTAAATAATATAAAGATTCCAAAGATTTTAAAGATTCTAAATATTCTAAAGATTCTTAAGATTCTGAAGATTTTGAAGATTCTGAAGATTCTGAAGATTCTGAAGATTCTGAAGATTCTGAAGATTCCGAAGATTCTGAAGATTCTGAAGATTCTGAAAATTCTGTAGGTTCTGAAGAATCGAAAAATTCGGAAGGTTGCGAAGGCTCCGAAGGTTCCGAAGGATCTTAAAGATCTTTAAGATTCTAAAAATGATAAAGATTCTAAAGATTCTAAAGATTCTAAAGATTCTAAAGATTCTAAAGATTCTAAAGATTCTAAAGATTCTAAAGATTCTAAAGATTCTAAAGATTCTAAAGATTCTAAAGATTCTAAAGATTCTAAAGATTCTAAAGATTCTAAAGATTCTAAAGATTCTAAAGATTCTAAAAATTCTAAAGATTCTAAAGATTCTAAATATTTTAAGGACTCAAACGTTAAAAAGATTTTTTAAATTATGTTCC